TCCGTCGGAAAGCTTAAGTATTGATGTGCATCGAAGGTGAACAGGCAGGAGTCGTCTGATGAGCCATTGCTGGCCGTGTTAGTCGCCTCAGCTGCTGACTTATTCATCATTCACTTTTTATTGGTTTTGCACTTTTGTGTATTACGCATACGCCACGTTGTCTGCTGTTGCTGGGGAGCCAGCGATTTGTAGAAGATCTTAACGCGATGACTTCGTGGTAACAACTGCAACTGGGCAAGTGGAGAATTGGCTATGAACGGCTTAGTCGATCGACTTCTTTGTCTAGTTGTTGGCCATTGGCAGTGATTATTGTTTTTAAAATTTTATATCGCTTTGGTGCCAGGTAGCAGTTATTACAGTTGGCTGGCAACTACGTCATCAATAACAGTCGCTGCATATATGTATAGATACTTTCACTATTTTGCTGGTTCCAACTCTGGCTTAAGACTGCAAAAGATATTCAGTACTCTGGATGCATATGAAGTATACGTCATGTTGTCGATATCAGATTTCATTTCTCAGTAATCGACGACAAATTCATTATATTGCAACGCAATCCCTAAGCAAATAAGCTCGTGCAGACATTGTTATTACAGGTTTCTAACTGTGCCATATTGAAAACGAACATTTGTTGGCCTAGCTAATGCACAGTTGGCCGACTCTCAAGTAAAGCTACATTTACGACATTACCGATGGATGATGGCAACAACTGTTTTTAATTGTATTCAGACTTTGACTGTAAATGTGCAATATATTAATTTTTGTTGTATAGATCATCTTAGAGATGGTATGTGTTAGCAGACAGTTTGATTCCATTTTCTCTGTCAAATAATATGTATAAAATAATTGAATATCTACTCAACTATGCCGTACCTAAATTCATAGACTGAGTATTAATTAGAATTATGTTAGACCTTGCATTTACATAGGTCAATCACTGAAAGACAACAACAACAGAACACAAGTTGGTTGTCGATCATTATCAGCTATTGTTCTTGTATTGGAGGTTGCCAAAATATGACTTGTAAAATGATGTCACCATCATACATACATACTTCATATCAGCGAGCAAATACATTGCCCAAATAAATAACCAAAGGGTAGAATATAGAACATATACGCGCACATATACCCCGTATGTAAAAAATAATGCTAGAGTCAAGTTTTGTTTATTTTTCGTTTCGATTATTATTTTCTCAAAAGAAGAATCAGCAAACAGGAATATTAAGTAGACTCTTTTATTATAATTTTTTAAGAAAATTAGACCATGTGAATATATAGACAATTTCCTGATGTTGCCGCCAAGATAAACTAAAGGCATTAAGTATTTAACTTTAGAATACCTGTTCCATAAAGTTGTCTCTTATCGGCCGTTGTAGTCCTTACAGGGTATTTCGCAGGCACATATTTGAAATTGCGATTATGTATAATATTTTCTGTTATCCTTGCTGGCCAATAGCTTTCAGTTGATTTACTCGCCAGAGGTCATTGAGGTAATGCCTCAAATATTTCCATCTATCTTTCCACCCTCCTTATCCCTGCCCCCTTCTATGCCGTTCGTTTCTCTGCCTCTGTCATGTGCGGGCTGCGGAGCTGCGAGTAAAAGTGACCTCATTTGGAGAAGCTCAGTTCTCACTATGGCCGTACATTCTGTTTCAGTTTTCCATATTTAAGTGTCCTTTCGCATTGCGTTGCTGTCGTTCCTGTGTTGTAGGCGTTGCCCACTCCTCGCATTTGTCCAATATCCCGCCTCACTCCCCTTGAGTTGCTTTCGCTGCTGCTTCTTGTTGTCCTGCCTTTATTTTGTTTTGTGTGCATGTAACTTGCTGGAAAATTAATAATAATAAAAAGGGCAACAAGAAGAAAACGAACGAAAACACCTACACTTCAGAGGAGTGTGTAGGGAGGGGCAGGGATGGGGGTGGCTTTAGGTCAATGGGAGGGTAACAAATACACGCGTGACCCTATTAAATGTGTGCTAATAAAAGCACGGGTCTCCAAATAAATGGCCATGACGACACTGAACGCTTTCTGCTCGAAATTTTCAGAGCTCAACTGAATCCAAACTGAAGTTTTAGGTGCTCAGCCCCCAAGGGAGCATGGCTGGTGAGAGGATGGATGGTGTAGTGATGTCTTCACGAAATTCTGTGAAGTGGGCGTAGCAAACCAAGAAAAATTACTTAAAAATTCAAGAGAAATTCTGCTGATGCTGATAATAATAATGATGATGATAATGATAATGTTGAAAACAAAATCAACGCTCACAAAGCGATGGCTGAAGGCTGTAGGATTTTCGGCATAAGGAGAGACGGAGAGAAGGAGGAGCGACAGAGTGGCGGAGTGGCGGAGTGGCAGAGGATGGCAACTTCCTATTTGCGCTGCTAAAGGTCAACTTTTTTCATTTGCAACGTGGTCATTTATAAAATCTGCGAGCATTATTAAACAACAAAAGAAAAAGAAAACGAAAACAGTCGAGAAAGCGTTGACTGTACTACATAAGAGGACTACGACTACATAAATTTATATACACTTTATACCGTATACATATACACATACATACGAAATATATATAAATATAAGGGTACATGCATTCAGTTGGGCCCGCGATTTATCAAATTAATGAGTATCATTCTATTTTCATTTCATTTTCCATGCGCCAGCGAAGGACACCGAAAAATACGAAAGAAAGAAAATATAGTAAATGGCAAGTGACCCATCGAGTAGGCCAGATACATAGAGAAAGAAAAGTATAGAGCTATGAAGTGCGAATAAAAATGAAGGTAACTTTTTTCTGAGCCTGCCACAGTCTTATGAAAATGAAAACGAAAACGAAAAGGATATGAATAAGCTGCAAACTTGGCTGCCAATTTCGCGTACAAAAGAGTCCGATGCGAGCTTGAATCTTTTGGCCAATGAGTTTCTTTTTGGCGTAACCAAAGTGAGTGCAAATGTTGTTAGACCATCGCCAACAAGAACACATAGAAAACGGAGCAGCGTCGATGTAAGCGTCGACGTTGGCGTTGGCGTTGGCGTTAGAAACTAATGTGGGCGATTACATAAACAGGACACACGAAAGGACGTACCGGCAGTGGGGAGGAATGGACATTTGCCGTGTAAGCAAACACACCCAAAAGGCAAATAGAAACACCCAACAACTGAGCATAAATCCTGACCAAACCCATGCACAGGACCTGGGCCCCAAAAGGATATGCCAGACACAAGCACTTTGCATGCCCGTGCCCATGGAAAGGTACAAATAAAGTGACCAACCCAGAAGGTCTACAAGAAAAAGGAAATACATATAATAATAAAATACTTTGCCAAAACAAAAAAATATAACAAAAAAAAAAAAACAAAAAAAAGAAGAGTAACCAGCAAAGGACTCGGAGACGGCACCGAGACTGAAAAAAGGAAGCCAGAGCGAATTGTTTTATATCCCTCATTTGTCCATTTAATGGCTGAAACGAGCCAACCCCGGCAGCAGCAGCAGAAGTAGCAGAAGTGGACTGGAACCAGGACTCGAAAGCAAACACAGCAAAAGAGAATCGACAGACAGCAAAAGGATGGCTGAGAAAAACGCAACCAAGCAAAGTGAAAAAGAATATTGAAACACTAATAAAAATAAGGATAAGCAGAGAATGCATTAAGTAAAATATAGAATAAGTGGGGTAGCATCGGAACGGAAGCTTTACCCACAACCCCACCTCCAATCTCCCTCTTCACTTGCTCAATGGCCGATGGGACGTATGAGATTGGTCTGCTTGACTTGCTTGGTGTTGGGTCGAAAATGGACACGGGTACGGCTTGGGCCACAGATTGGATCGCTTTGGGTCCTCGGGGGTTGCAGCACACATATTCGAACTCTTAGTTTAATCATAACAATAATTCACCCTTTTCGGTTTAACCAACTTTAGTTGTGCTCTCGATTGATATTTTTACCAGTTCCCCTTACCCATTACCAACGGCTCGAGCTGAGTGGACAGAAACATAAATTTCTCGGTAGCTATGCAACTTTAATGTTGACAGAGATCAGCTCTATATTATCGATACTCTCTAGAGATGGCATAGTTCAGTTGATTATGCAATTATTTTGATTCGATCCATTTCCCTAATACTTACATATAAAACAAAAAAAAACATTTTTTTATGCTTTAAACCGAATAATTGGATTATTAACGCATATTAGCTACAACAGCAATTTTTTGCATATAAAATACGTTAGCAAAATGATAAATAAATGTATTCTTGGATCCAAATCTCTGAACAACATGCAGTTCAAAGCCTTCGTACTTCTCGCCGTATATGCAGCTATGAGCAGTTGGTGCTTTGAACCACCATGTTACGGTAAAGGATAGGGATAAATCAATTCACCGATTTAATGTAAACTATGTAAATTAAGTTGTTGAAGGACTGTTTAATAATGTTAATATTAATAAAATATTGGATGAAGAGTCTCCATGGAATGTGTTTTGCTACTTCTTTTATTCTTTTTGAAACATTCATTGAAATGTTCTTCTGAAATCCATAATTCAAATATATTGTAAGCTTGGAAAACTTGCAATTGGATGCATATTATTCACTTCTACTTCACAACACAACACTCGACAACTGCAACTTTAACTAAGCCTATAAATTGACCAACCCAGAAAGTCCACAAGAAAAGGGAAATACATGTAATAATAAAATACTTGGCCAAAACAAGGTCGTGCTCTCGATTAATATTCTTACCAAATTGCTAAGCAACTTTAATGTGACGGAAACTGTCCTGTGTCATGGACGCTCTCTAAAGGTGACTTTTTAGTTGATTATGTAATTATTTTGATTTGATATACTTACATAATATTTACACGTAAGCCAAGAAACAATTTGTGTGTTTTAAAATGATAAATTGGATTATTAACACATATTAGAACATATACAACGCTACAACAGCATTTTTTGTGTAGAAAATAAGCTCGGAAACTGGATCTAATTCCTTAAGCAAGATGCAGCTTAAAGCCTTTCTACTTCTCGTCTCTGTTGCACTGAGTACTAGCGTTGACGCACTATGCAAAGACTGATCAAAATAGGTGGCTCACCAAATCATTAATACATCAGTTCACAGATATAAAGTAAGTTTAAATTTGAAATATTTGTAAGCAAAATATACCAGTTGTTTCTAGGCTAGCCTGCGAATGCATATTCCTGCATTTTCCTGTACACATTAAAATTTAATTAAAAATGTCAAAAGTCAAGAGAATATTTCTACTGGATTGTATACGGTATCATAAATAACTATATCAACTATAGTACTTCAATGCATACTTTAACAACGTGCCTAACCACAGATTGTTGCTAAGAGATACAGAGGCAACACATACAGCAATAAATATATGTATTGAACGATACATATATAAAAAGTTTAATAAAAATGATTTTAAAACTGAGAGACTAGTTGTATACAAATAGACATGTAGGCAGATGGACATGGTTGGACTTGGTTACTGAAACATATCTACTTAGAAAAGTGTAATACTAAAGGAACAATTGCTCTTTGAATGGATTACTTGAGATTTTATAAACTCAAAGCCTGGACAGAACTCACAGTAGATACAATAATAATAATAATGCCCGGATAAATAGACTCCGTAGTAAAGTGTCTAGTTTGAATATTATTTAAAAATTAAAAAGTCAAAAAACTTGAATAGAAGAAATATAAATGACGGCTATGCATTAATAGGCATAATTCAATTAGTAAAGCATATTAGAAGATACCCTACAACAGCACATTCTTAGTATACAATAGGCTCGGAGACTGAGTACAATAATATGCGATCCAAATCTACTAAAATATATCGTTCAAAGCCTTCACACTACTTTTCCTTATTGCAATGGACCATGCCCATTGGCATGAACAAATAGGAATATATCAGTTCGCTGATTTAAACTAAGCTATGTAAATGAAATTGTTTAAAGCCCATTTACTGATATTAACATGAATAAATTATTGGATGAGCTGTCTAGATGAAATTGGTTTCTAACACCTTTTATTATTATTGAAAAATTCATAGATATGTATTTATAATATAATTCAAATACATATATACAGAACACAACAGAATACTCCACAACTGCAATCTTAATTAAACTTAATTAATAATTTATTAGTATTAATTTTTAACGCACAAGTGTGGCAAATTTGATTGACACGGCAAAGGTGTAGAACGTTGAACCGCAACAGTCGTATAATTTATTATGTAGCCTGCACTCATCCATATTGGTAGCAGTGAGAGTTCGATGTATTTAAATGTCAAGTTGGAAAAATATAAACTAAAGTGCTAGTATGTATAAGAGAAATGGGTTGAAAGGGAGGTCAAATGTTGGGTCATTGCAGCCCATGACCCGTTGTCCATGTCCTGCATTCACATGTACACTCTAGGGCACACAAAGAGAGTGGGAAATGGAAAATAAAGTTTAAAAGAGCAAACGGAAAAAAAAACACACACACAACAATAACAACACTCGGGCAACAACTTTTTGTATTTGCTGGCTGCATGTTGAAGCAGCAAAAAATAAATTTCGAATAAATGGAAATAAAAGAGAAATGCAAAATGGTGAAATAATATGCAACATATTTTAGTTGCCATCAAAAATGGAAATGTGGCACAGAGTTGCCAGCTGCCGTTGCGCTAACCAAAAATCAAATGTGGCAACATTGCCACCAACATTTTTTTCCATCCGCACTCAGACAGAGAAGTGGAGGCAGTGGCGACAACAAGTGGGGAACGATTCACGATGATTGAGAGGGGATGCCACGAAGAATCCACAGTTCATCTCATCATAGCCACTGTGCCGGGCTCGGGTTTCTACCGTCTCTCATCCTAGTTGGCGGCTCCTGCCACATGCAACATTCAATGCATACAAATGGCATTTAAGCCGGTTTTAGCTTTCAAAACGGCACAGCAACGGACTAAGCGTAGTTAGACAAAACCAACCCACACACATACAAGGACACAGTAACAGCAACGCAATTTATATGCGTGGCAAACATGAGCACAACAGCAACAACCTCACACAGATGAGGGCTGTGGAACAAAGCGAACTTCAACCGAGTCAAACAGGCGGCAAAAGCTACTAAACTAATACACACACATACATGCAGATATTCACACACACATGCAGATATTCACACACACTTAGCACACACACACACACGCACACGCACACACATGTATAGACACAGAGCCTGCAGCAGAACATGTGCCTCCACGTTGCATGGTAGGCACATCGGCTGTGTATTATAGTTGGGACTCTCCGACTGTTTTTGTCGGTCGTTTGGCCGCTCGGTGGTTGGCTAAGTGGGTGGGATGTGTTTGGGAAGTGGTGGGGGGCGTGATTTGGTTATGGTCATAAAATAAACCAAACAAACAAGCCGGAACCATGTCAGAAGGCACCGCATACCAGCACAAGCGCACTTGGTTGTGTGTGTGTGCTATGTGCAAAGTGTGAGAGCAGCACAAGGACGAGCACAAGTGCGCACAGTGCTGCAGGACTTGATAAAATTGCGTAAAGTATTAAATATAAAGATAAGTTTTTAATTTTAAAATGTTGATGTCTTGTTTTACGCCAATTTTTAACTAGATTTCATGTTTGTTTTGAAAAAATTTGAATGGATTACGAAACAGAATTCAAAATATGTAATGTATATTTATAAATATCAACCGAAACTAATACACTCAGAAAAAATGTCGTTCTTAGTCGTTCTTCAACTTGGCTTGAAAACTAGAAAGTTTTAATTTTATTTTTTAGTTTTATTTAAATTAAAACGGGATTTTTCATATTAACCAGAAATATATTTCATAACAAAATAAATGATTTCTAAAAAATTTAAATGCACTATTTTGTATAATTATGTTTAATTGTAAATTATTTTCTGAGTATAATTCGCACAATAAAAATGATTAGAGTGAATTTCTTCGAGTTTCTTAAAAACGAATAAGAGAAAAGGTTTAACAGAATAGATGTATTTGAGTGTAAAAATTGCTGAATGAATATTTTTGAAATATGTTTATGTAATATTTATTGTATGTACCACTGTGCAACAGTTAGCCCTACAACGCGATGCTTTGTATGGCGGCTGGATGGGGGCGTAGTGTTGGGAAGGTTCGGTGAGAAGGGACTCAGCGCGAACGGTGCGAGCTGTTTCATAATTTTATACACTTGCGCTGAGCTGCGTTGCGGTTCGGCATGGACACGACCAACAAACAAACAGACAAACACCCACACATTTCTCATATGTATGTGCCACGCCCCCCGTGTGCATGGGTCTATATGTAAGTCTGCGCATTTATCAATAAAAATTTTTTTTTGCTGTTGTTGTTAACTTTGTGGTTTTTGTTTTTAATATTTTCACCGCTTTAAGTGTTAAAAGGATATCTGCCATTTAATGTCGGCGTGGGTGTGTGTGTCCGTGTGTGTGTGTGCGTTGTGTGTGTTCCCAGCACTCGTTTATCGTCATAAATATCATGCTGAGTGTATGTTTTGTCGCATATTAAGTATACGGGGCGTTACACAAGCCGACTCAAGAGTTTGACTTGACTAAGGGCTATAGAGAGTGAAAAACTGCATTTGTTTCGCTGGTCTTTTGCATTAGTGCAACTGGGTTGGAGCTTATTTCAATGCTTTTATGTTCAAATTGTATTTCATAATCTGTTGCTTAAAGTTACCCCTAGCAACGCACAAAAGGACTCTTCAGAGTACTCTCTTTGAAATGTGGGTCGCAATTTGCGCACTGAAAATTTCCCCCGCGTTCTAAAAACATTATAATACATTCAAGACTAAAGCAGTATAAATTTCTCGACTTTCTGGTGTTGCTTTAAGGTATCACATCCATTTGGCGTGACTGCATAACCAAATAACAACTCAACTGCAGCGACCATTAAAAAAAACATCTAAACCCTTTTTGTTCTGCGAAAATTGGAGTCTTGACGTCAGGAACAGTTGATAGGTAACAAAATTAATTTTCTTACAATCTAGCAACAAAGCAATGGCAAACGTTATAAAAAAAGGCGCACGTGCCCCGCCCCAGCTATTGACCATACACCTCCCCCAGAATGCCCCCCGCTACCTGATCCAGTCAAGCGTGGTAAGCAAGCAGCTCCTTGAGTGCTGGGAAGAACAATCGCTGCGTTTCCAACATGTACTAATTTTCCACTCCACACCAAGAATAATCGCCCAAGCACACAACTTCATACACACATACACACACACACACACACTGTGTTTGGAACGTGCGGACAAAGCCACGGCAAGAACTTGGACTTGAAGCGTTTGGTCCTGGCACTACAAGGGATTAACCTCAAAAAATCTCATCAAAGTCAAACCCAAAGAGGGAGGCAAAAACAGGGTGGCGAAGGGTGTCTCATGTTGTGTGGGAGTCATACGATCCTTTTGCGGTGGGTGTGAGCCTGCAAATAGTAGAAAAATTCAGCGACTCGTGAGAGACACCAAACCCGCCTCTGCGACAGGGAGGGGGTGTGGGGTAAGGGCGTCATGATATGGAGCCATACAAATAAGCCACCCAAAAAAGTGGGCTAAAATGAAGTTGTGTGCAAAGAACAATAAAAATGGCAGGCACACAGAATGCGAGGAAAAGAAGAAGATGATGATGAGGATGGCCAACAGTTACAGCATCGCGTTGGAAAACAAGAAGAAAAAATCAAAAGAAATCTCACGAAAGGAAAATAAAAGACGTGCAAAGATATAAGAGAATATACAACAGCATAAAACAGAGACGAGGCCGAAGCAAACAATGGCAAGCGCTTTGGGTTCTGTTGTTTTCTGTTCAGTTGCCCACTGTAAGGTGGGCGCACATACATTTTTGCAGGGGATGGAAGGCGACAGAAAAAATTATACAAATACAAAAGGAAAAATCATATGAAAAAAGCACAATGACAAAAGAAAAATAATACAAGCGATTGGGCCAACTGAGCGACTGAGGGATGTGTCGTGGATTTTCGGTTAAGGGGCATTGATATACATACATACATATATTACATATATACGATATCGTACATCGCCGCTAGGGGTTGCAGTGACGAGCGACTACCGATGACAATGGACATCGTTGTGGTATGGGTTATGCTCGAGATCTGTGCACATATGCAGCACATACATATATATATATATATATATATATATGTATGTGTACTATGTGTATGCTCAGCTCTGAGCAACCCATCAAAATCGCA